TTTTGGCTAGAAATAAAAGGGACAGTTATTATGGCGCACCCTGTATTAGTCGCATATGGTGACTGTGGACATTAGAAATAACAAATGAAGAGAACAAAGTTATCGAAGAAGAATTTCTAAATATATACATCCGTTCCCATGTCAAATATAGAATGTCATGACGTATGAACGAAAGAAAGAGCTTATTTCTTGTTTTATCTACGCAGACGCGCACATCGAGTATCGAGTGCGCTACATGGCAATTTGAGAGGAGAAAAAAACAGAGTTGAAAATATTTCTAGTCAATTGTTTAGATACGATAAAAATGTTTGACACATCAACGAAATTTATATGACAGCGAGATATATATGGTTAAAAGCCACTCGATACTTCATTTAAAATAATCACATTATAATGATTCCATTTGATAAGATTAGTTTTCTGTCTGTTTCGTCTTATTCGTTCTTCCTTTTTGGAAAAAGCCAATATTCGCAGTAATTCAATCGTTGTTTTGCTATTGGAAATAGGGCAAAGAAGAAAATCAAGTTCAAGTACACAACGGCAGCGACAAATGTGCATCGACTGTTTTCTGCTTATCGTTTGGCGCACGAGAGAAAAAAAAATGACGAAGAAAAAAACGTGTCACAACTAAAGTTTGCAATGTACATATGGGTTTGTTGTGTGTTTTGTGTTGACTTGTTGTAATATCGAAATAAACTATATGCGAAAAAACCTTCGCTGATGTCAACAGTATCTTAAATTATAAATAATAAATTTTGTAGGCTCAACTTACATTGTGTAATACAAACGTAAAACCAGGCCACTCGACTTACGTGTCAATGTCTTCTAGTGCACTTTTTTCCAATTTTTTATATCCAAAAATTTGTAGATTTTATACACACAGATACTTGTACACTATTTACAAAAATTACTTAAAAAATTCAGTTTAATGTAAACAATGTTTTTAGACGGTTTTTGTGTGATAAAACAAAACACAAAAAAAGAATTTTATTTACATATCGTCGAAATGTTTACTATAGCATATATGCTTTTCTCGTTGTCATTATTTCACTTTGGTTTTGGATATATTTGACGCGCGTGCGCACAAACACTGTTTTCGTACACGTTCGATTCAAATGGATTGATTCGCGCTATAAATTCTCATCAAAATCTCAATAGATGGAGTCACGCTCAATGTGCCAATTCTTATTTGCATCATGAATTCGATTTCGATCTTTTTACATCATTTGAGATGAATTCAATTTTAATCACAATTTTCGTATAGTTCTTATATAAACCAAATCAATAATGTAATCCTTGAATTCACTCATTTTATCACATACGATACGACACAATGAAGAAATAAAAATTTAAATACGGAAATCAATTTGTTTCCGTCTTCGAAGCATTTCTGGTGTAAAAGAATAAATTATTGCCATAAATCTGAATTTATTGAGAAAAACTAAGTTCGTTCACACTTGAATGTTGATGAATAAAAAATGAGTTTGAAAACTGCACATTTCGAATGTACATGTGTAAAAATTACTTGTTGTTTGCCGAGAGAGATTTCTTTTACAACAAATGATATTCGATTATAGTTTTTTTTTTAATTTATAAATTTATTTATTTTATTTTAGAAATATATATGGTATTTCTTCAAAAATGCAATTCTTTTGGAGGGAATTTTTGTCTCTCATTGTAATCGTTGCTGTTCGAAATTGTGCAAGCGCTGTGTTTGACATTCGAACTGTCAATAAATGATTGTCAAACATTTTTGCGCGTCAAAATAAATAGCGACCCGGGTAATGTTGGCAGGAAAGCTAAGTAAATTTTCAAGTGCATCTAAACGAGGTAAGCTGTCACATAAAAGGTATTAATTATTTTATTTAAACATTTCACCGCTAATCAATTACGATTATCAAAAAAATCACTTGTTATCTCATCGCTTTGATAATACTCTCATAAAGTGGCCGACATACTAATTGAAACAGTATTATGTCATTTTTTTCTATATTATACATAGTTTTATCACTGTATAGTCACTGTTTACTACGCGTCATAAGTCAAAGAGATAGCAGTACAATGGCTGAATTTCCAACAACACTAAAAGGATTTGGCTACGCATTCAACGGTAATCTATTAATAATTGACATCAATAAAAAATAATTGATTGTTTTTTTTATAAAAAAAAAACTGTATTAGCCGCCGGTGAATTGCGTCAAATCAATCCCAATGACGAATCGATCACCGATAAACCATTCAAATTTGAAGTATGCAATGACGCACGCCGCAATCAAGCCCATTATGAAGCTCTCGGAGAGGTCATTACCGAACACGTTTATCAAATGCTGGTGGAAGAAGGCACATTGCATAAAATATTTCTACCATCGCCTGAATCGCCAACATCAAGCTTTGTCTTTGGCACAAAAACCGATTTCAAAAATACAAAAAAATTATTGTTTTTGATTCATGGTTCGGGTGTTGTTCGTGCCGGCCAATGGTCTCGCAGTTTGATTATAAATCAATCGATAAATCATGGCACACAATTGCCGTATATAAAACGCGCTATTTCACTTGGCTATGACGTTCTGGTGACAAACACAAATCAAAATGAAAATCTATCACCAGAAGAGCACATTATTACGGTTTGGGAACAATTAATTGCACCAGTCTATGACACAATTGATTCATTTGCTTTGGTTGCACACAGCTATGGTGGGGTGGTTACGCTTAGATTGGCAAAAAACTATCCAGACGCATTTTTGGAAAAGTGCTTTGCAATTGGTTTCACTGATTCAGTGCACTATGCTGGCGGGCTCACAAATAATTTATTCAAGTGGTTCATAGAGGTAAGAATTGGACTATTTTTCAAACAAAATGTTCAGTCATAATTGCAATCAAAACCCTTTTTTTGTAGAATTCAAGAAATTATGTCACATCAATGAAGCCATTGGGTACTGCATTGTATTCCAGTTCAAGTGACATTCCATCATTTTCGGCTGGTCACAACAAACACGAATGGACATCATGGGCTTGTATGGAAGAGCTCTTTCCATTTTTGGAAAGAAAATACAAAGAATTTGCAGCGTCACAAGATCATACTAAGAAAGTTAAATTGTCAAATGCCACGGAAACTGAGAGTGAAGATGATAAAGGTGAAGGCAACGATTTAAACAGTCATGATAATGATAAAAAGGCTGACGGCGATGATAGTGGTGAAAAAACTGAGGGTGAAGGTAAAAGCAAAGACGAAGAAGAATCGAAAAAATCCGAAGAAACTGATGAGGCACCCGATAAACCTGAAACCGAAGAAGCATCCGATAAACCAGAAGAGCTGGAAAAACACGAAGTAGAGAAAACAGAGAAACGTGAAGACTTGTAGAGTTGAACTTTGAAAAAGAGCAAAACTTGTTGGAAAAACACAAAATCACTCCATTATCATTTTTCTTTGATTGAGTTGGAAACGTTTGCAGCAAATAACTTAATATGAAATTCACATCAATTTATGTAAAATAATAGTTTAAATCAAAAAATCAAATCAAAACAATAAATATTCACATTTTTCTTTTTTGTAATTTGAATTTTTTGTAAACTTCGATTTCGCTTCAGAATGTCATAAATGTAGATTTAGTTTGTTTAATGAACACCGCGGACAGCGACATTTGACACAGAACATTTGTGCATCAATTTCATTAAAAAAATTATATTTGGATGAAAACAATAAGAGAAAAATTCGAGAAAAATGGCTGAAAATATTGAAAATTCAAATTCAAATTCAAATGAAGGTTCAGATTTAAGTGTGGGCCGTGAAGAGGTAATTTAAAAGCTTTTTTTATTATTCAAAACTATTTTTATTTGTTGTGTTCACGACAAGTGGCTATAAAGTACAAATAAGTACTACTATTACACTGTAATAATTACAGTATATATTGAAACATATTGCATGAATAGTCAGTTACAATAATTTTCGATTATTTATTAGATTGTAGAGAATGAAGAAGCCTTCAACATTCCCAAAGAAAGTATTGCCGAACGTGTAATAATGTGGCACAACCCAACGATAGACCACGACAAACTTCAAATTGAAGAAAATAAATCTTTAATACGAGGGTCACTATTTAAGTTTTTTCAAAAACATATATAAGACAATGGGGTTTCATCGAAAATGGTTTTATTGTTTTTAAAAATATTCGCCATGATGATCAATACACTTTTGCATTCGCTCGAACCATTTGTCATAGCATTCATGCCACTCCGAAAGTGATATCTCCAAAACGTGTGTTTTGAACGCATCAACTGCTTCTTCGGGCGATGAAAATCGTTGACCACGCAGTTTATTCTTCACGCTCGGGAATAAAAAGAAATCGTTGGGTGCCAAATCAGGACTGTACGGCGGATGACCCATTAAATCGATCTTTTGACCGGTCAAATAATCGACTGTTTGATGAGATGTGTGAGAGCTCGCATTATCATGATGAAGAATTATTTTGCGACGGCGGTTGTTTTTTCTTATTTCATCAAACACTTCGGGCAAACAAATGGTGGTGTACCAATCAGAATTGACGGTCTTACGAGCCTCTAGTGGAACTGTTGCCAAATGACCACTTATCGCGAAAAAACAGGCGACCATTTGCTTCGCAACACTTCGAGCTCGAACAACTTTTGTTGGGTTATTTTCACTTTGAAATACCCATACACTCGACTGCTGTTTAGTTTCGGGCTCATACGCGTAGATCCATGATTCGTCACCAGTGACGATAAAATACACGGATTTTGAAACACCACGATTGAATTTCTTGAGCATTTGTTTACACCAATCGACACGAGCCTTTTTTTGAGCGATTGTCAAATTATGTGGTATCCAACGAGAGCAATTCTTTCTGACAGCTAAATGTTCATGTAAAATCTTAAATACGCTGGTCGCACTAATGCCCAGGGATGCCTCAATCTCGTGATATGTTACATGACGATCTTCCATTATCATATTTCTGACAGCATCGATGTTTTCTGGTACAACAACTGATTTTGGACGACCTTCGCGGAACTCGTCGATGAGCGATAGGCGACCGCGCTTGAATTCGTTGTACCAATTATAAATTGTCCGAAGACTTGGTACTTCATCGCCAAAGGCCAAATGAAGTTGATCAAAACACTGTTGTTGTGATACACCCAATCGAAAGTGGAAAAAAATAATCGCTCGAAAATTTTCACGAGTAAAATTCATTTTTTGGCTGAGACGCAATTTACATGTTACGGTAAACAATACAAATAACGATCGAACGACAAAACGTTCTGAGAACGTTTATGCTACAAAATGTTAAACTTAACGAATATGACAATGGTTTGCATCGGGCAATACTAAAACATACATATTGAAGAAACTTAAATAGAAAAAGATCACAGATATGGCAAAAAACCACCAAATACTTTGAATCGTGAGAAAAACTCCATTCAAAATGTTGATGCACAAAGTGGATCTGGGCAAAATCTTAACCAAGGTATTCCATTAATTTACATTCCTTCGATTCTTTGTCCATTATGTTCCATTACTTCTTGATTAATTTCCATTTTTTCCATCCTATTCTTCTGATCATGCTAGATATCAATAATACATCTGTACAATGCTCCGAGGACAATTCTGGCGAACCATCTGCCTCTGGGTCCAATCTCAACGATGGTATCACTATAACTCATGGGCAGAATCAAGCTTCTGGCGAAGCAACTTGCTCCAATAACAACAAAATACCAGAAGACTCTGACATCCAATTTAATCAAGTAAGCAGCTCTGACGATTTGGCTGAAAGTGATCGCTTAAATGTAGTTTCAGAAGATGAAGAAGAAACAAGACTCAAATTAAATTTAAAAAATGATCTTCTGCAGCATGATATAAAGATAGAAAAATTGAAAAAAAGAAGAAGAAAAATTGAATATAAATTACAATTGTTGAACAGAAAAAAAGGAAAAAAAATGAAAATAGATTATAATTAATAATATAATCAATTAGTTAACTGTAGGGGAAATTTGTACTGACTCACATTTATACTATAGGTTAGGGTGTAGCATTTTTCAAACATTTTAACGGCGAGGGTAATAACCTTGGCTATGGGATCCCCTGATCACGAATCAGGCGTTTTTTTGCGAAAAAAATATAAACTGAGATGTCACGGCTCAACGGCGAAGTATCAAAAATGGGAAAAATTTGGATTTTTTTGAATTTTTTTGATTTTTTTGAATTTTTGTGTAAGGCATCAAAATACACTATACTTTCAGTATTGCTTACTTTTATGCTTAAATCATCAGAACAGGTCCCAAATAACACATTCTAGTAGAAAAATTCATTCACATTCAAAAATGGATACCTTTACCATGGAACAACATTTCATTGAAAATTTACAAAAATCCTGATATTCAAAACTATTCTTCTGAACACAAATTTATGAATATTGAAGGTTTCCTGATCCGGAATTATCAATAATTGTCTGAAATCAACATGGAAATTAATGTGTGCAAAGTATTCCATGTCATAAATTCATTTTTGGTACCAAATGGAGACATTAAAGAAAAAATACAGAAAAATGACAAAAATTATAATATTTTCGCCACTTTCTAGAATAAAAAGGCCAAAACTCTTCCGCATCTGAACTTTTCATGTATTTTACTCAATTTGTGACGTTGCAGCATCAATAACATCTGATCTTTAGTCAAAGTGCAGTATAGTTTACTATCCGAGTGGATCACATTGTCATATCAATGAATGGAATGGGATCC